CATCATTATATACTCCTATAAAATTCATCTTTTAAAATCATCTGGATTTGTTTTAACATTATTTACACTATTTACATTCAGACTATTGATCTCATCTTTTCTGTTGTTATCACAGTCTATTGGTGCCATCTGGTCTTCATCAGGTGTATATTGATCCAGGTAACTTCCAGGTAATTCTGAACTGAACCCATTATTTAATCTACAGGGGCAGACTATTCTCATTTCCCTGTTCGTGTTTAGAGGTATCTCATCTAGTTTTGATTTTTTAGTACTGCTCATTTACACTGTTCAGCCCAGGGATTGAACTCACAATTACTTTGTCTCCAAATTCACAAACGGATACTTTAATCCAGTATGCTATTGTCCTGTGTTGTGGTGTTGTTCTGTGGTAAACTTGGAGCCTTATACCTAACCTGCCTGCTGATTAGTGCAGCTGCTGCCTGTCAGGTTTGTTATTGTTGCTGCTGCTGAAATTTACTGTTGTGTTTTTTTCTTTATTAGTGGCTCGCATTAATCTTGTAGCAAGCTTTCAATATGGTATCAAAAAATTCCAGGATTACAGCCATATCAGGTTGAATCACCAGTTCTTATATGATCACCAAAGTTAAGCAGCATCAAGCCTGGTCAGTACTTGGATGGATTTGGAATACCAGATGCTGTAAGCTTGGTAGTGTGGTTGGTGTAGTGTATAATGGCTCAGAACTGTTGAATAGAGAGCAGAGTTACCATTCCAGTTACTTTTGTTATATTCACTTATATACAAATACCCTTGGGTAAGGTATGAATCCACCTCTTCTCCCCCAGCTAAGAAAATTTACACATTTTTGACGGGCCGTATTAAACATATGTAAATTAACAAAGTGAGGGGGGAGAGAGAAGACATGAGTGAGTTAGCAGACATTGACACATTTAAACTAACTTTTAACTAACTCACCATGTCTTCTCTCTCCTCCTCACTTTGTTAATTTCATATGTTTAATAGTGCCCACAAAAAAAATTTACTTTTATTTTTTTTGAATAAAGTCTGATGATTCCCAGTCCTTTAAAAATTGTGAAATAATTTATTAAATTTGGTCTGTTTTTTATTTAAAAATATATATATATATATATATATATATTTTTTTAGGTAAAAACCAAAGTCCCTTAGTATTTTAGTAAAGTCTGATGATCCGCAGTCCTTTAAAAGGGCTGAAATTGGAATGATTTCCATTTGAAATAATTAATTTAAAGGGATTATATTGAAGTTTACAATTTGTTTTGGAACATGAGAATTTTATGTAGCGATTTGGAATCATATTTTTAAAAAATAATTATGGTCTGTTTTATATTATATATATATATATATATATATATATATATATATATAAAAATATTGTTTGAAGGCAACTAGTATTGTATCTGTGATTTACAAAGTCTCTTCTACAACTGGACATTAAAAAAAAATCTGGAAAGTAATTGAAACTCACCTGAAGCGAGCTGAAAATGCTCCTCATGCCAATGACACTTAGTATTTTAGTTGAATTTTATTTTCCTCTTGAATTTATATTTAAAAAAATCAGGAGAGAATGTGTGTTTGCACATTGCCCGCCCCCTCACTGATGTGAGGCCCCATTATAAGATATACAAGTGTTGTAGATAAACTAGTTCAAATATAATTAAATTTACGAAAATTTAAAAAATGATCTCCAAACGATCAGTCATGAATAAGAGGTCTCCCCCAAATTGTTTCTGGTTTTTAAATAACCCAAAAAAAAAAAAGGTTGATAAGCCTTAAAAAATCAGTAAAAATAAACTTTTAAAAATGTTCTGAGATAATGTCTTTTTAGATTATTACTCCAATAAAATTGAGTTGAGAATGCATCAAAATGGAAGCCTTGATAATGTTCAATTCCAATTATGGGATAGACCTTTTTTAACAGTACTTGTGAATGAGTTTTTGTTTGCATTTCAACACAGTAATGTTGACCTGAATTCATGTTCAGGCAGCATTCACCAGTCTTGAAATGTGTGTACCACTTTAAAAACTAACTCAGACCAAATGTCAAAAATCTGAAAAAGCATTTTAAAAGTCTCAATAGATTTGTTAAGCTTCAAGCAAAATTTTATGCAGACATGTTGCTTGAAACTGTCATGAAAGGGTGCTGGTGCAAGGGTCTCATGCCCTTCTCCTAAGCTATGATATGCCCCCCCCCCAACTACTATATTTCAATTTTCATATGGTAGTATTCATATAAAATACAAATTTTATTGTAACCTAATTGTGTACAATAATGGATCATATGCAATATAGGTGAACAATTCAACTAAAAAATTGAAAATAAATACAATGTATCTAAATGCAAATTAGAGACATGTCATAATAGATCATTCCATCTTAAATCAACAATGTTTACAGCAACTTTTAACATCAACTTGAGATTTTTCTTGTTAAAAAGTTGAATAATTTTAACACATTCAACATCATAGTTAAAAAAAATAGTGAATTTTATATAGTCTTTTTTCAAGACAGCATAAGCAAAACAAATTCATGAATTTATAATAAAATATCTTCTTTTTAATAAACAATGCCTCGATCAAATTTATGAATTAATAATAAGATATCTTCTTTTTAATAAACACATTTTAATAAATATGTTTCAATCAAATACCTTCCAGTCATTACCATGTGTCCATTGAATGGCTAATATGAGATATACATTTGTTACGGTCATCAAAATGAGAACAACAATTAAAAATAATATATGAAATTGAAGTATCTCAGAAAAAAACTAAGGTCTCTCAAAGTTTGAAAAAGTTTTTATTTTGCCCAGTACATGGAATTAAAGGATTCCTGAAATGAAGTATGCAAAATAAATAATTTAAATATTGTTAAATTATTTTACTGAATTAAAATCCTCAGAAGATGGCATATTTAAAATGTTATTCTTGCATTGCGGATTTTATGTCTTTAGGACAAGGATGATGAACCACTGACCCACAGGTCACCTTAAAATTTTTAGTGATCCACAAAGAGTCAGTGAAATGACATCATGTGATATGGCTCAGCCAATCAAATTTTAGCAATTTTTCAAGTTTTGTTTGCACCTTGTGAATACCTAAACAGATTAAGCTGATACTCAGCCAGCTTTATAACATTTTAAAGGAAGGTTTTGATTCTCTTTGCAGTTTATGAGTTTTAATTTCATCTATTTTTAGTGTCTGCTCAGATAAATATTTGACTATTCTGAATTCACTTATAATCCTTTACAGTTCCCTTGAATTAAAACATTATCAACTAAGTTGCAGCAACAAATTTCTCATTAAAAAACTATCACTCATTGTTCGGACTGTTGTCCTCACCTTTGTTGCTATATTCACAATGGTTTGTATATGAGTGACCCATTTATTTTTTAAAGTACAAAAATGACCCAGCAACTATAAAGGTTTGCCATCTCTGCTTTAGGATGTTTAAACAATCTCTTGTAAATATCCTTGCATTTTTACAAACTGTTATTCTCATTTTGGTTGCTGTAGACACAACGTTTCAATCAAATACCGTCAAGTCATCACCACGAGTTCATTAAATGCTTAATATTAGATATACATTTGTTACTGTCTATATTTCTGAGATGAGGTATTATGTACACTATTTACATTATTCGGACTATTGTCCTCATCTTTGTTGCCATATTTATCACAATGTTTCGGCTGATGTACATTCTGGCCTTCTTCAGGTGGTTGGAATTTCAAACTAAACCCTTTATTTCGCTTGCTGGGGTAGATTTTTCTAGTTCCTCAAGGACACATGGCACAGCTGATAAAGGCATTGGTTATATCCAGTGACAGGACCCAAAGAGTTGTGAGTTCAATACCTGGTTAAGGGAAATTAACAAGAGATAACTGATAACTGACATCCATTAGACATGGCATGTGGAACTAGAACAGTCTATCCCAGCAAGCGGAGTAAAGGGTTCAGTTCAATATTCCAACCACCTGAAGAAAGCTGGAGCATACAATGGCCAAAACCTTGTGATAAATATAGCAACAAAGATGAGGACAATAATCCGAATAATGTAAATAGTGTACATTTGTTACTGTCATCAAGATGAGAACAACAATTAAAAAAATACATGAATATTGACAATTACTCATCTCTGAAATGAAATACTAAAGTCTCTTGTAAAGTTTGGAAATAGTTTTTGTTATATTTGCCCAGTACAAGGTCCAAGAATGTTCTCATCTTTTCTATATAAGGCTCCAAGTTTACCACCGAACAACACCACATCACAGGACAATAGCATACTGGATTAAAGTATTGGTTTGTGAATTAAGAGACAAAGTAATTGTGAGTTCAATCCCTGGGCTGAACAGTGTAAATGAGCAGTACTAAAAAATTAGAACTAAACGAGATATCCCTAGACACAAGCAGGGGAATGAGAACAGGCTGCCCCTATAGATGAAATAATGGGTTCAGTTCAGAATTACCTGTAAGTCACCTGAATCGATATACACCTGATGAGGCTGGAGGTCACCGATATGCTATGATAACAACAGAAAAGATGAGAACAATAGAATGTTACTGAATGATGTGAAATAAACTAAAGAGAAGGTAGTAGGAAATTAAGATCGATGATATTTTGGATGACTAAGCCCTAGACTTGAAGAGGTTAAGATTGTAGCATTCAGGGAAGCATCCATGCAGGAGTTGGCCCAAAATAGCAGTTCTTGGTAATCACATTTTGAGTGAAACCATCTTATATATGGAATATGTAGTGAATGAGGGGTCATCAACCTTGTGGATGTAGCAAGTCAGGTCGTTGCTGTAAAAGTCTGGACTAGTGTCACTAATGTAAGGCTTATCTGAACATTTACTATAGATGTAGCAATAGGCTTGTAATATTGTGTCTGTGGGAAAGGGGTGGTAGGTCAGAAAATAAGTCATCTTCCACACAATTCTGTCAAAACCAGAAAGTAAAGATTGAGCAGCTCCAGTAATATCCCATTTTTGTGGCTTACATCACATTGATACACCAGATCCTATATGATTACCAAAGTTAAGCAATGTTGAGCCTGGTCAGTAACTAGTTGGGTGACTGCTTGTGAATACTAGGTGCTGTAACCTTAGATGTGCAGGTAATGTTGCTTACAGCCATATCACATTGAAACACAGGTTACTGTGTGATCACTAAAGTTAAGCAATGTTGAGCCTGGTTATTACCTACATGGGTGACCACTTGGGAATACCAGATATTGTAATCTTGGATGTGCAAATGATGTGGCTTACAGCCATATTATGTTCAAACACCAGTTCGTATACGATTACCGAATTGAAACAATGTTGAGCCTGGTCAGTAACTAGTTGGGTAACTGCTTGTGAATACTAGGTGCTGTAATCTAGGACCTAGTACCTAGATGCCTGGTCAGTGCCTTGTACTAGGTGCTATAAGTTTGGTTGTTCAGGTAGATAATGTAATACATAATGGCTTGAAATTGTTAACCAGGGAGCTGAGTTCCAATTCCCATTGGTTTTGTTATATCCACTTATATGCAAATATCCTTGCAAAAATATGAATTTGCCTCTTCTCCCCCAAGTTATCGGTTAATTAGTAAGATTTGTATCATTAAACTATTATTATCTAAAAAAAATTCTTACAATCTAAAAATATTTTCTGAAAAGATGAGGACAATAGTCCAAATATAAATATTGTAAATAATAAAATTTACACATGTAAATGATTTTTCTTTACTTGTAGAGGTGAAAAGAAATGGAATAAATTTCAACAGGGTGATATTTTAATAAATGATTAACAAAAAATAAAATATACTTTTATGCATGTAAATATAACTGAAAAAGAAAATATTAAAATCTACCCATTAGGAATTATGTGTGTGTGTGTGTGATAGAGTTCAGTCATCTACGGAAATACATCTGAGAAGAAGTCCTGTGCTAGTGTTACTTCTACTACATACTAGAAGGAAAAGTGGAAGAAACAGGAATGTCCTGTTTTTAGAGCTGTTTAACAGTGCCACCTAATGGTGTCCTGGCAAACTAAGTGGGGGTAATCCCACAAGCCTCTTATAAAAAATAGATAAAGGCTTCATGTACTATTCATACCTAACACGTCATCATGTTATTGATATTTGTCTTTTTTGCAACAACATTATTTGCTTCCTAACATTTTGTGGCGAACAAGCATCAGTACAGATGCAAAAGAGGCCTCGATTCATGTGTGGACATGTTTGTTTACCTCGCTAGCAGCAGAACAGCTTGGCATGTCCAAATACGGGCCTCTCTGCAACTTGTCCAGATGCTGGTCTTTGTCAACTGTTTCATATTAATAAAAGCAACAGGAAAACCAGCAGTGTGTAGTTGGCAAGACTCAGTATTGAGTGAGGATGTTCCCTTAGCACATTTTGTTCCAAAAGTTGCATGCTGTCCACCATGCTGTGATTTCTAAGGCAGTGTTGTTTTTGTTTCCTCTTTTCTCTTTCCCTTCACTTCTCTTCCTGTTACCCCATAATTCTTAGGAGAACAATCAGTTAAGTGTGTCCCTCAACTTCAACACACCCTTGCTTTATTTTATAACACATTCTTATATGTCCGTGTATATATATCTAAGACGAGGCATTGTAACTATTTACATTATTCAGACTATTGTCTTCATCTTCATTGTCACATTCATGACATACCCAAGGACACATGGCCCAGCGGATAAAAGCATTGGTTGAAGTAACTTGACCCAAAGAGTTGTGAGTTCAATTCCTGGCCTCAGCAGTGAGAACAAAAACTTGGAGAGTTATCAAGGAAAATTGACTAAGACGTAGTATGTAGAATTAGAATAATGTACTCCCAGTGGACTAAAAGTGTGTGGATGGAAATTCCAATGAATATCACTTGAAGAAGGTTTGTAAATGTGACAGTAAAGATAAGGACAATAGTGCGAACAGTGTAAATAGATACATTCCCGTATATTCTTGGTATATTTTGTAATAACTACATCTTGAACCATATTAAATTTTGTACAACAATTAGAATAGTATTCAAATAAAAAGGTTATAAAAGTGTAAAGAAAAAGTGCATACTGCTTGGGGCTCTTGAAAAAGAATTCTGAGACTTAGCATAAACAAAGGATGATGGGTAGTAGCCTGCAAGAATAAACAGAAATGCATATAATGGAGGTTTTACTGTTAACAAGAAAAAAAAAATAGTTATGACATGTCTTAGATAAACGTGAATTCAGGAAAGTGCCGGTTAAGTTTTAAGCAGTGCCTTCCTTGCTTTGACCAATATACATTTGTCAATCATGTCTTCAAAGTCAACCCATTTCAGTTCCCTCTCTCTCTACATTCACAGTGCTAGGTCACACAATCTAGCTTCACCTGTCGTATTCTGTTGACACTCCCACATGTTTTAAAATCAAGCAGAAGGCAAAAGTTTAACCAATGATCATCGTAAAACTGGTCCAGGATATAAAAGGTCTCAAAGCAACAAAAAAAACACCTTTTATTTTTTTCATTAAAAAAAAAATGAAAAGAAAGACAATTGTATATATTGTGAAATTTTCATGTCATGGGTATTTTAGTAGGATCCGTATTCTGTTCTCCCACATTTTTTAAGCGTTTCAATGATCATCGTAAAACTGGTCCAGGATATAAAAGGGCATTAAAAAAAAATGAAAAGAAAGCCATATATGGGACGCAAGGGCAAGGCAGGAAGCCACAGAAAGGGTTAGAACAAGATCAGATAGGAGTGATAGAAGAAAGGATGAGGAGAAGGGTAGTGGATAGATCAAGGCAACTGGAGATGTTGATTGACATTACATTTGAATAGCTGGAGATTATAGCTCTCAGGGAAACTAGAGAGTTCCACAGGTGAGAGGTGCGAGACATGAAGCTATTGGAGGAGAAGAGACGGCTACATTTAGGAGTTTCAACAGTGAAGGGGTGAGAGCAGGATGCCAGCCTCATCGGGCGCTTGAACTCATGAAGTCTGGGAACCAGCGAATGCAGCTCCCTGTGAATATGTGGTATTATATTTTAGATTGAATGCCGCAGAATAAGTTCTTGTAGTGTGTGAGTAAATTGTAATGGATGAACAGCTGGTGAATCAGATTAGCTAGATGTAGGATAGTCAGTGGTGACCAGCCTTCTCCCACTCCCTCTTTTGGCCTTGTGCCACATGAGATGTAATATTTAAAAATAAACCACATTCTGATAACCGAAATCAAAGTGTAGTATCTGTTCCAACAGACAGCCCACAGCTCCAGCCATCAGCAGCAGTTCCAGCTAGCTAGCCACCCATCATCACTTCCAGCTCCAGCCATCCTCGCCAGTAGCAATGATATGCAATAAACTGTCCTTTTATGCTTGTGGGCCAATGTACCACCTGCAACAGACCCATGGAAGCCCTCAACTAGGACAAAATCAAACTCAGCTTACTATAGAAATTGAGTTTGTTAGCATGATACTGATTTGACTTGCAGCATTCTACAAACTTAAATGTTGACAGATGATTCAACCTAATCAATATCACACTACAAATTATTTGTGTGTAAATTACTCTCTCTCGAGTGGTTTGTAACACATTATCATCTCTCAGTTGCGTCTCTGTCTTTGGGCAGAGTGCGCTTAGGGGCTACTCTGTCAAAGGACAGAGTGGCAACTGACGAAAATTATACAGGGAGGTATCCAGAATTGGGGAACAACTGCCCAAGGCCGTGCCCACTCATGGCACCAGAGAGAGTGATCGGTGCTCACACCGAGACCAGTGCAACCAACGTTTATACGGGCTGTGGGCAATTTTTTTTCTTGCCCAGGTGTTCACACTCGGGTCCTCCACCTTAAAAAAAGATCTTGTCTCAGTGGAGAGACAGAGTAAATACCGTGTGTAAATTACTCTCTCCCGAGTGGTTTGTAACACATATCATTATCATCTCTCAGTTGCATCTCTGTCTTTTGACAGAGTGCAACTGAGAGATGATAATGAGGCAACTCCATCGAAGGGCCGAGTCACAACTGAGGAAAATTATACTGAGAGGTGCTGGTCTCAGGAAATGGCTGCCCATGGCCACGCCCTTTCATTGCACTAAAGAAAGGGATCGGTGCACGCACTAGCCGCCCCATTTCACCCTCAATGCTAGAAAAAAAGCTTACAAAATCCACAAATCAAAAAACCTAGACACTACCAATAGCACTTCAAACAACAACCACACAAATTCATAATCCTACCCTCTAACACTCTTTCTATAAAACTTGTAAAGAAATCAGAAATTAGCCACATCCAAGACAATCAAATAATTATCATTATCAAATAAATTGTTTACAATATGTCATGTGATCTAAAAGCCCATATATATGAACAAAAAAGAGATTTACATTTACACAACCATTCAAATGCTCTCATAATACACAGGGACAAAACTGGCTATAACTTTTACAAATTAAAAAAAAACAATTATTTATGGAGAAAGTACTTTGAGAGTCTGCTAATAGCAATATTATCAACTATAAACATGTCAAAAACATTATATTACATTGCCAACCTTTATTGCATCCATTCTTAAAGAATTTAACATGTTTATCTAAAACAAACAGTATAAACATTCCCAAATCAACATGCATAAAACAAAGAAACATAAATGTATAATAGACACACACATGCGCGCGCACACACACACACACACTTATGATTCCGATATAGCCAAACTAGAAGTTTTATACACTTACATATAGCAATATTTACATTTTTCAAGTAAGGTTGGAATCCGTTAACTTCTTAACATTTCGGATGGAGGCATCATCTCTCTTTGAATTCAGAACATCACAAATTATACCAACATTGGTATAAAGAGTCAAATACACATGAGATATGATTGATCAATGAAAATAAAACAAAAGTAAAAATACCAGAATTTCTTCTATTTTTCCATATCTTATTCGCAGATGAAGCTTTAATAAAATTGAAACATGTTAGATTGATAAATGTTTCCTGTTTCTTATTTATTTTATTCTGTTGGATTCTGATCCATATTTGATTTATATTTGATCTCAACTCATATCAATGCAACATTTACTTGCTCTGATATTAAGTAATCTACAAAGAAAGATAAAAACATAAAAACTAAAAAATTAATGGTTATTTTACTGTAAGTTTTGAAAACATACTCCCAAAGGGATCATGTCAAAAACTGCAACAGGATTTTCTTTCTAACCTAATAAAAATAAATCCGCTATATAATTGAATTATTAAGAGTGTT